AAGGTCTATAATAATAAATCAGATGCTATTTGATTTATCAAAACGATTCCATTTACACCTGGTCACATAAATGTGTTTTTTTGCAAAACCCATGTAAATCCGATCTTCAGTTCCAGCTGCAGATTTAATGGAGTGCACCTCACCGAAAGCAATTTGAAAGCAAAAAGCAAAAGCTAATTTGTGAAGACACAACACGCACAACCTTGAAGCGGAGGGGCTACAACAGCAGAAAACCCCACTGGGTACCACTCATCTCCACTACAAATAGGAAAAAGAGGCTACAATTAGCAAGAGCTCACAAAAATTGGACATTTGAAGACTGGAAAAATGTTGCCTGGTCTGATGAGTCTCGATTTCTGTTGAGACATTCAGATGGTAGAGTCAGTATTTGGCGTAAACTGAATGAGAACATGGATCCATCATGCCTTGTTACCACTGTGCAGGCTGGTGGTGGTGGTGTAATGGTGTGAGGGATGTTGTCTTGGCACACTTTAGGCCCCTTAGTGCCAATTGGGCATCGTTTAAATGCCGTGGCCTACCTGAGCATTGTTTCTGACCATGTCCATCCCTTTATGGCCACCGTGTACCCATCCTCTGATGGCTACTTCCAGCAGGATAATGCACCATGTCACAAAGCTCGAATCATTTCAAATTGGTTTCTTGAACATGACAATGAGTTTTCACTGTACTAAAATGGCCCCCACAGTCACCAGATCTCAACCCAATAGAGCATCTTTGGGATGTGGTGGAACAGGAGCTTCGTGCCCTGGATGTGCCTCCCACAAATCTCCATCAACTGCAAGATGCTATCCTATCAATATGGGCCAACATTTCTAATGCTTTCAGCACCTTGTTGAATCAATGACACGTAGAATTGGGGGTCAAACATATTAGTATGGTGTTCCGAATAATCCTTTAGGTGAGTGTATATCATTCTCACACGTTTATCTTCTTAGCATTTTTGGGTTGGAGTAAAAATTACATATGTGGTTTCAACAAGATGCATTTACACTTGTTCAGTTTCGTCCGGAATGCGGTCCAGACCTCCTCCTGAAGTGGTTTGAGGAATCGGATTCAAATCCGTCTTGAATGCACTTCGGAGGGCATTTACACCTGGTCTTTTCACGATCGGATAGGTATCCAATCACAGAAAATGCATGAAGTGGCCAGGTGTAAACAGGCCCTAAATGACATGCACAATTAGGGCAGGTTCACACATAATTATTTTTTGCACTTCACTGCACATCTTTTGAATTGTTTTTAAATATGCATCTTTTTGCATATCTTCATGCTGGCATCTTTTTGACTGTGCCACATTTTTAAGAAGCTACGTCTAACCTTGCTCCAACATACATACCACTAGTTTTCAAATAATCAAGCTCTGCAGGGCTGTGGCTCTCAGGAACTGAGTTTTGCACCACTGCTTTAAGCTTTTTTGTCAAATAGAAGAACATTATGGACATGAACATTATGGTATGTTCCCTTCAATTCTGAGTTCTGAGCACTTAAATGACAAAGTGAAGTCGTATTTATAAGTAGGACTCATGGAATTCTAGCTCATTCATGAGGTGCGCCAAAGGGGTTGGAACTCAATATGGTTTTCACTAAGTAGTTTGCAAAAACCTCTTTTCTGTGACCTAGAATGCCATTTATGTGAGGATAAGAGGCCAATTTACAGCAAAAACATTGTTTTCAGAAATATTGTATTTGTATGGATGGCCAATCACACCCTATACCGTCATTCACTATTCCCTAAATTACTCCACTCATTTAGTCCACTTGAAGAAGTGATTGAAAACGAGTGAGTGAATTGAATTCAGACACTAAAGAGCCGGAAGTGCTGTCGATTTTGCATAGTTTTAACTTGCTGTTTAATAATCATTTAAAAATTAGCCAACTAGCAGTAATGAAAATATTTATCTTGAACTCTACAATGAAAACTAGCACGTATAAACCTTAATTAAGCAATTTAATAAATTAAAAAGGAATTACTTTTGGACCATCTCACTATCTTATGGATAGACACGGGAATTAATTTGACGCATGACTCTCACAGTGCATTATATATACGGGATATTCTCTGTTGAGTGTACATTGGTTGTGCACCCGTTATTGCAGTGCATTGAGGGATTGAATGAGTGCACTAGATAACGTCCATGGTTTCAGACACCACTACAAATGGCTGCCCCCTCAAATAGAGTCTAGAGTATAGGGGCGACTTCGGACACAGCCATCGTGTCTCAATATCAGCTATTCAAATATTAGCCTGGTTTCTGTATGTAGTAACTGTAAAAGCTAGTCTAAAACGTGATGTAAGTAAGAGTAATAAGGTATTATGGTGTAGCAATGACAAAGACTCATTAAGAAGCTCAATGGTTCTTAACTTAAAGTATATGGATTTGCATGGGTTCCATTCAGATTGAGACTGAACGAAAATAAAGCAGTTGAACACAAAGACCCAGTTCTAACTGAGGCTGAGCAGTGTTTGTGTTCTCTCAACATAACCGACCAGGTCAGAGCTTATTCATGGACTTAATCCAAATGGCTTTATAACAAACTTTGAGCAATGAAATGGCCATTGTTCACTCTGAACCAGAATTATAATTAAGACCGGTCAGCCTGATCAACAAAACCTCTAAGAGAGGAAGAAGGGCTTTTGATGGGTCCTCATGGTCCACTGGGAATAGTGATAGCCTCATCAGCAACGGACTGAGCTCGAATAACATGAAAAAGACAGCAGCCTGCCAGCATTTGAATTAGGACCCATCCGGAGTACAATTCCTGATTTATACTTGGTTCAACCATTGACCTCATAGTACTGCACTAAATGTTCCCACAGAATAGATGCCTACCTGCGGCTGAGGTAAATGTTCCCGCTCATCCAGGGGGACCTGTGTGCTTAAAAAGGGCTTGCACATTTTGTGAGAACCAAGCGCAGATAAAAGGAATGAAGGTCTAGCCTGGTCATACTACCACAACAGGTAAAAGTCAGTAGGAACAGTTGTCATGGTGCCATTGCGTACTTTACAAATAGGTCTCAGTGGGAATAATGTGAAAGGCAATCCGTTGAGCACAAGAGAATTATCACAGGATAAGGTCAAGAGATAACAAAGACGCTTGTATCGTCGTCTCTTCTGCGGTGAGGGAAAGACCTTCCTCTCACAAAATAATTATCCCACATCTCATCCCATATTCATGCCAAGCTCTCAACTCTCTTCAGAGAAGAGCTCAATCATTTATAAAGCAGTCAATCATGCATAGCTTGTCCAAAAAAATGATTTTATTGATTATTAAAAAACATCTATTTGTTTTTAAAGGCTGACATAATCTTTCTATTGAAACTTGAATGTCATGTATTAAATATATTCATAATTATACATTTAATATGAAGTTGCAATTTAGTACAAAATTTTTTTGGTTAAAAATGATCCAAAATACATAATTTAGAAAATGCAGTGTTCAAAACTATCTGCTTGCATTAACTCGATTCAAAACGGTTAGCTTGTAATAATCTTTTTAATTCCAGTAGTACTGGTGGATTTCCGCGGGAGATTCGTGCTTGTCTTTGCGTCATTTGGTCACATCTGTACACATAAAGAAGGAGTCTCGGCTAGTATTGCGTGTGAGGATGCTGATAGCCTTTTCTCACTGCACTTGACTTGATATAATTAAACTTATCAATTTGATGCTGGATCCAGAAAGGTTCAAACGACATTCACCAGTGACAACAGATTCACCCGCTGTAAAATGCAAAAGACGTCGTTCAGAGTGGCAGAGAGAAAGAGACTGCAACCGGCCCATGCGAAAACAAGGATACATATCGGAAGGACATGTAGTCACTTGTTGCTGCCGTTGTTAACATTAACATTATATTATCTGCAAGCACTTCACTTTTGAACATATACTTTTAAGATTTGAAGTACAATAAGCATTTTTTTTTCACAAGGGCAGTGCAGTATAAATTAATAGACACTAATGCTATCCAAAATAGTTAGTCTTGCAGTTAACATGTATGAGAGACCATCAACACGAGAGGAAACTCAGTTAATATATGTACTGTATCACACGCTAGTTATTTGTCATGCATAAAATCCTCCTCAAGCTATGATTCTATCTTTACAGTGACCATTAATGCTATTATCCTTAGCTTATAGAGGGATCTCTCTCTCTCTCTCCCTCTGTGTGTGTGACTCTTTTGACTGTGTTCTGGAGCAGTACTAGCCTGGTTAACGTCAGACCATGTCTCATTGACATTGTTCATTTTCTTGTATTTGAGGCGTGGTTTATGAATGCCCAGAGCCGTTTATTGGGTGCTACGAATGTCTATCAAATGCACCTTTACGTAGCTCATAGCCAATCATTTCAATTATACCAGATGTGAGCGAAAGAAATTAGGCGAGGAAGAAGACGATGGGTCAGAGATTTATTTGCGTTCTACAAAAGGCTACATCGAAAGGTAACTTCGGGTCTGCTGCCATCTTTGATGCATAGGTATAAACAAACTGCTTCGGTGTGTCGCATTGGCGTCGTCATAGTGTTGCTGCTCCCTCCCCGTTCTGTGATTGGTCCCCTCACTGAGGTGAAAATTTGGTCCATGGTATCCAGACTGTATAAATAAAATCACGCTGCGCTAAGGCAGTACCTGGCTAGAGCTGCAGCACAGTTCAAGTGACCCATCAAAAGTCATCCCAATCATGCTAGCATCCTGTTTATATAACTAATGCTAACCTCAGGCTCAAAGCACACAGGGCCTTAGCTAATCTCACTCAAGGCAGCCGACCACTTTCAGGTCATGCAGATGTCTTTATGACATGCTTTCTGATAAAACAGGGTCATAAACATGGTGTGCATTTTAATCAAGACAGTGTAATCCATGTTAACAAGGCGTTTATCGCTCATAGCCTTGAACAAAACAAAGATAGACAGGCTCCATATCAAGAACTTTTTCAATTTTATTGAACACAGAAGAGGACATGTTTCTTGTTGAGTGAGTTGCCTTCTTTCCCTCAGGCATCCAGCATTTTGTCTTTATTTTAATTCTATTTTATTTTGTTTTCTATTTGTCCCAGAACATTTGTGCTACTTCCTGTTTACTGTTCTGTCTGCCATCTTTGTAGTCGTTTTATAGATTTTTTTTATTTGTTTTCCTCTTGATTGTCTCCCCCAGGTCTGTCTGATCTCATTATCTTCTTAAGCTTATTAGCCCCTGTCTATATATAGCCTGTTTCTCTTATTGCTTTGTCAGTTGTGCGTGTAATGATTGCCTGTTTGCTAACCCCTTCAGTTATCGCTTGCCTCTGCCTGCCTTTTCTTGCTCCCGCACGTTACAGAACAATTGACCGGCAAAAATGGATCTAGCAGGAGCATACTTAATTTTTCTTCGCCAGGACAAGCATTCCCTTGAGGAACACACCTGCAAGTTTTTGGATCCTGTTTACTATAATGAGGTTTGTTAAAATAAATTAATAATAAATTAAGCGCCAGCCCCTCATGCACAACATGTGACGTCCGTTAAAGGGACCTCCACTTTTTTTGGAAATAGACTCATTTTACAACTCCCCCAGAGTTGTTGTTTTACCGTTTTCAAATGAATTCAGCCGATTTTCTGATATTTAGAAGAATATCAGTAACCAGACAGTTTCTGGTCTCATTGACTTCCTAGTATGAAAAAAATATACTATGGTAGTCAATGAGACCAGAAATGGTCTGGTTACAGATATTCTTCTAAATATCGGAAAATCGGCTGAATGGATTCGAAAACGGAAAAACACAACTGTTTAACTCTGGGGGAGTTGTAGCCTATTTCCAAAAAAGTGGAGTATACCTTTAACATTCGCTCTCACTGCTCTCGGCTCCACCCTTCCTCACGACACACTTACCATACACACTTTCCAGACAGTTCACTCATTGCTTTTTATTTCACTGGACTCGGTGAACATCTTCGCACTCAACATCTCAATGATGGTCCTCGAGGGACTTTACCACCACCACTATGTTCTTGCTATATTAAAACAAAATTAGCATTGTGTCTTTATTTAGTTGATGCAGTGTATTATTTATAAAACCTACATGTTACATTTGCATCAACCCTGTTACCATCATATTTTTTCCATTTTTCAATTTCAACAAGTCCACATAATCATATAAAATCATAATGGTCATCCTTGTAAGATCTCTTTTTACAAATTACTCTTACTCTTTTTAATCACTTTCAGTACATTTTTAACAAAATATCTTTTTATTTTTGTTTAAAACTCTTTTGTCAACCCATTTTTTTCTATAATTTTCTAGGAAACAAAGGATGAACGAGTTGGCAAAAATCTCATGAGAAGCAGTCGAACATCCTTGACCACCAGGTAATATCAAACTGTAAAACTGTCAACCCTGTTTGACGCATAGTTTGAAATTGCACAGTGAGATGCATAATTTTATATTGTATCACAAAGAGTGTTTCCTGTACATATGAAAATAAACTCTCTTGTATCTCGAATAAAAACTTATATACCAACAGAATTTAAAATGTCACACCATATTGAACTGAAAAAAATACTTGTTTAATGGAATAAAACAGTTTGCTTATACATGTTTTGACAAAAGACTCAGACCAACTCTTTTTTAGCATCTAGCTCTTTTTTCCATTCTGAAAGATTGAAATGTTTAGCTGATCAGCAGAACTTAATATCCTTCCTCGGTCAGGACAAAAGACTTTGAAATTAGGCTAATTTCAGCATTTCTCTCTTTTCCTGTGCTGATGGAAACAGATGCAGAGTTCCTGATTTGTACTTTTTGTGGGTCAGTATGTTCTTACATTGCTTTTTGTACACCCTCCGTCTATGCAACATTTTAACAATATATTTTATACCACCAGTTGGCTGCTGGCTGATGTTTTTCCAACTGAGTCACAGCAGAACAGCAAAACGCAGTAGAACTTTGAGCTGAAAGAGAAGGCGTATGACAGTTATGAGATTTTTATTTATTTATGAAGCACTCTGACTGTTGTGAAGCTCAGACTGATAACGGGTCACTTTCAGTGGCATCACGTTGATTGTACATCAAATTTGGCCTGACATTATTTTCCAGAGACAATAAAATATGCAACAGTTTGGATGAGCTGTATGATAGAGATGAGTCACACCAAACTGGTTAATGATTATATGACCTGTTGATTTAATATTATAGTGAGCAGTATTATAGGAATTATGTTTTTCTAAATAAGTCATTAAAGCCACTCCTATGCCTGACATTTCTATTTTGTTGAAACTAAAAATGCTGGTATTTTCACATAGCATTAAATAACATTTTATTTACATGTGGTGGAAAAAATTGTTTGTCACCTAACTAAGACTTGACCCTAAGCCAGTAAAGTTCATCATTTGAGTTTTTTTCTTTCTTTTAATCTCTGCAGCTTTGCGTCATAACATTAAGTCTATAGGCATTGAAGTAATTTGTGCTTCTTCATTTAAAAGATTGTCCTGTTCGGACATGTACGCTGATTAAAATATCATTTGTGCATTGTGTTGCTCACTAGTGTGATGTCATGCAAAGCTAAAATGTTACTAGTTTGTTCATAATATCTTGGAAAAGTTTTTGAATTTTGTATTTTTAAAATCAGTACATCAGTATCTGCATCTGATCTCTGTATTGAAATATATATATATATATATATATATATATATATATATATATATGTTGTTTGCATTTAAACATTTTTTTAAATGTGATACTAAATGCAATTAGCTGAACTTTATATGTAATTTCATATATGCTTCGATTGTCTTTGAAATGGTTCAGTTCAATTTAGTACACTACATTTAAAATAAATAAATTATAATAATGAACAGCATATTACATTAAAATTATAATCAAGTTTACGTGTGTTTTATGATAATCAACATATCAAAATAACAGAATTATTAACTACGATTTCAAAATGTAAATGTAATACACATTTTTTAACACTTTCAAAATTAAGTGTAGGAAGGAACACGGCAATGAACATGTTCTTCTTTTAAGCTATTTTTTTTTTGAAGTACACATTCAAAATTTAAGAGCACTTCTTTCTCACAAAGCTTTCACTATGACATGAAAATGAAATGTCTATACTCCGTTCTAATTTTCAGTGCATGCGTGCATGACTAGCACAATTATGCAGCTCTGTTTCTCATATTTCCATAATAGATGGGTAAATGAAAACAGATTCCTCAAGAATTTCATGCAAACATTTTCCATGTGTGTGACTGCATAGGTCAAACTGGAAAATAAGCCGAATTTAGACGATGCCTGGGACAAAATAATAAGGATGGCTGCCATACTTTTACCATAGCTGTCAACATTGAACACTGAAAATTAAGGGAGTTTTCCCGGAATCCATCCCCAAAATAAGGGATTTTTTTTTTACACGATTCTTACCCACAAACTTTAAAAATAAAGCACTAATCCTTAAAAGTCTAAAGAGTTAATAACAAGCCTAGAAACTAGTGTCATTTAAAGAAAAAAAAAATCTACATTTGGATTAGCGGTGTGTTGCTCTTGCCTTTGCGACAACAATTTCAACTGTTATCACATCTTCCAAAACCCACAAAATAGGGAAGTGGGCTGTCTGTTTATTTCAATTACATTTACACATTTTGTGTAGTTTTAAAGAGCCTATATTTAGCCTGGTGGTGGACCGTCACTCAGAAGACACACTGTTGTTATTGTAGCCTATCATATCTTTATATCCTCCTGAGGCCCAGAACGTTTTTTCCAAAAGTTTTTTCTTCTTCTTCGTGTAATCACATTGTTAAGAGCATAAGAAACAAATGAAAAAAAAAAGAAAAGATATTTTATTCATATGTTATATGACCTTAAATTATATATAGGCAAAACTAATGGCAATATAAATCGATTATTATAATTATTATTTGTTTAAATTACATTGATATCTGAATTTATGTAAAAACCTTGACTTTCAAACATCAAAATGTAAAATGTAGGCTATTCGAGTACAAAATGACATATAAACATCGTTTCCTATTTTTTATTTATTTTTTTGCCTGGAAACGCTTTCAACACGCTTGCATACATAGCAGTGTACCCAGAGTGTACAGATTCCGTACAGTGCTTTCAGACTGACACAAATGTTCACCAGTCGTCCCCTGCCCAAAAGACGCAACACTTGTGGACACTTGCGTCACTCGCTGTCTTTCAAGCATCACTGTTTTTTGATTATTTGCTGAGGATTATACTGTTGATTCCACACATGACAATCTTCTGAGCGCAACAGTTTGTCTTGACGCTGTCCTCTTAGCCTAGTTCATTTATTTGTCATTTAAATGTGTAAATCTGTAAACCCATACACACTGTTCTGGGGAAAATAAAGGATTTACAAGGATTAGCACAGAACAGCAGATGCGAGGCACTCTCCTTCAGATCTCTAGTCAACCTTTAATCACAAAAGGGGAGGCAGAGGGCAGGTTGGCTACACTATTATTTCTATGAGCTTTGGGTCTCAAACTGTTTCTTTTTATGACTCGACTTGTAGGGGTATTTTAAGCATCATAAAGCACAGAAATCCTTATGTATTATGAAATGAACATGGGCTTAAATACACTTGACCTATATGATGTAATATAATACATTTATACATTATACTATTTTTGGGGTAACAAAAGTTTGGGGTTGATAATATTTTTAAAATATTGCTGCATGAATTAGTTCAAAAATACAGTAAAAAAGTATTACTGTGAAATATTTTTACACTTAAGAGCATCTATAAAATCCAAGGCAAAGCTGAATTTTCAGCATCATTACTCCAGTCATCAGTGTCACATGTCCCAACTTCATTTGGCAGCTTGTTTTAATGAGTCCAGGTAGACATTTCAGGACATAGCCAACACGAACGAGTCATCTTATCTTGTAAAGGTAGTAAAGAATCTCAGGTCATGTGGGCTGTCATGAGTCTGACATGCTCTCTCATTACCAGACGTCATGTGATCACTATCCTTATCACGTCTCACCCCATTCCTGCTGACTACAGTGGATGTAATACAGTATCTTTAGCTGTTTGATAGTTCTACAAGATTATTACCGAATCAGTGGTACATTTGTGAATTTGACGTCATTTCCACAGGTGTGTCATGTCACTGTCCCGCCACCAGAGGGTGCGCTTTGAAACGGGCACAACGTTTTTGATGATCAGTGTTCTAGATCTGTTTTCAGTGAATGCAGCCTGCCAATTCAAGTTTAGTTAGACATGTTTGAGGTCAACAATAACCATTGCCTTCACATGCTGGTCTGATGTCACCAAATTGTGACCATCGTGCTTATTCACGTGCTGTTTGAATGCAGTGTCTGGTTAAACAGCCATAGTGAGCCCATGGATGGAGACATTTTTCTTAGTGTGCCAATCAAAGTTGCAGCTTTTTGATTTGTCTCATTAGAAATAAATAATTGAAAAACAGAGATTGAAGCACTGCAGCCAAAATGATGCAATAAATTATTAGATTGCATTTCATGTTTTTGCCATGAAATAAGTGAAAATAAACCTGTAGACTTGCATTGAAGGAGGAACTTGAGCTATATCTACAGACTAGAACATCACAGAGACTTGTGATGGTGGTTCAGTCTTTTATAGCCATATGCCTTTATCAGGAACATCACACATTCAGCAATTGCCCCGTTACATTCAGTCTATTTGTATAGCAAGATATATTCACGTATCATGGCAACACAGGTTATGCTTTCTCAGGGGTATAAAGACGTGGTATTTTCCTCTCCGTGAAGATTATTGTAACCTGGTGACGGACTAATTCTTCTCACCACAAACAAACTGTACAGCTTACTGGAACTGCACTCAAAACAGGTTGAGGTTTGTAGGGTTTGAGAGTTGAAGTTTTATAGCCTTCTGTCTGAGATCTAGAATGAAAATGGAATCACAAAATCATTTGACAGTTATATGATAGCCTATATTTGGGGTTCAAAGGTATTTTCAACAACTGACGTAGGCCTAGAGTGAATCATTTTACAATGATGAGTTTAGTGCTGGTAGTAACTGATTAGTAATCTGGATTAGGCCTATATGTAACCAGATTTAAAAAAATAAGTATTTGTAATTAGATTAGGCCTACATTATGTTTTAAAATACTCATAAATAGACAGTTAGCTCTTTTTTTATTGATCACATGATCACATATTATTCACACAACGGCAGTAAATCATTAATAATTGTTTGAATCTCCTAATTCTTCTTTTTCATCTTTTGCATCTTCTTTTCTAAAAAGCCTATCATTTAGTAGATGTGTTCAGAAAGTCTTAGATTTGTGGAATTGCACACACAAGATGGGTTAAACTAGAATGTGAATAATCTTTTTCCTTGTAAAAGCCTTGCATTTAGTGTCCTGTACTTTCAAGGGCAGAACATTTTGTACAACACAAAGTAAAAAAAAAAAAAAAAAACATTAACATGAACTCCTGTAGGGGAGGGGCTCTGGAGACCCTGACTGTGCTGTTTTAATTTTAAGAGTGGGGTTTACAAAAAAGGGAGGGGCGTGAAAGCTCAGAGACTGAGCGTGTGATTAGCAGGAAATGCCTTGTTCCTCAGTGCCAGCACTTTTTCTCCATTCTTGCAACCGAAGCGTCTGACCCTTGATTTAGTGCATATGTTCCAGTCTCAACCAGTACCCACACAAGACCTGCTCACTTGAGAGCAAGACACAGACTTGTTTTTATTCTCCCATTTACTTTTTGCCTCTCATCATACTGTACTCCATAAGGATTAAATTATAATTATGTCCTGTTGGCATTGGGGAAATGGTGCATAAAATTACCTCACTGTCAAAAAGAACCAGTAGCACCAGTACACAAGATCCAGGGGACGGAGTTGGATCCAGATCTTAGGGATGGAGATGGGTAGGATTAGGGGTGGGGTTAGGGATCAGGGGTCGGTAATGCGTAGGTTTAGGTATATGTAAGGTGGGAGGAGTTGGATCCTCCCCCTGGATTTCATGTTCTGCAGTGAGGACCATCTCAAAAGAAGAGTATTTTCATAGTCAAAGACAAGTATATTGCTATCTTGGTTTTAGTATGTTAGACTATCAAACCATATCAAGGCACTGGGACTGCTGTAAAGTTAATTGATTATCTATCCTACACATATGTTCTGTGTGGCCTTTACCTTATCAGCCCTGATTCGCCACAGGTCAAAGGTCACTCAGCTGTCTGCATTCTATGGTATTTAACAGAATCCATGAATGTATCCCTTTGTACGACTCTAGGGATAAAACTGACTCACATCATTGCCCTCGACCCCATTCACTTCAAAACAGGTTCCGGTAAGATTTTTAAAATGTTTTTTGAATGTTTTTGACAGAAAACAATTGTGCTTCTTGATATTTCAGGGAGACTGTGACCATTAGACTGCAACATTAAATGAACTTACTATCACCTTTTTTAATGTAATGCATTCTTGCTGAATACTTTTTTTTTTAAATCTCGCTGATCCCAAATGCTTGGTCTGTAGTGTACATACAACATACATGCTCTAGAAGTGCAAAACAATGGCTTAGTGTGTATGTGAAGCTGAAAAAACATGCCTAAAGTGTTCACAACATTTGCCAGAAAACAATGTTATATTCTGACTTGGCTGTTTCAAT